GTTTCCAACCCAACAAGTCATCATCTATTTATAAAGTCAGAAGCTTTTGGGGAGATGGGGTAATGACAAATCTACCTATTTGAAACAACTGCATGAAGAAGTTAATAAGAAGAAAAAAAATAACTTGAGCAGAAATATTGTTTAAGATAGTAGTACCTGAAAGGATTAACTGCAGCACGAGAAAAGCTCCATTCATTAGAATAGGAAGGACTATTCCTGAGAAGAGTTAGCCTATGGTTCAAAGTTGCAAGCTAACAGTAACACTAACAAGAAGGATTGGTGGCAGTGAATGGATCAAATGGACCTCAACATATATAGTCAGCAGTAAGGATTTCATCATATATACCAACATGTTCATCTCTTAGGTGGGTTCTCACATCCTGCTATTTATCTTGAAGTACAAATTGCAGAGGAGTGACCCCTAGACCCCTTGCTTCTCCTCCTGCCTTACTAAATCTTCTCTTTTGGTATTGCTGTTGTTGATTACCCCATGAATTTCACTTGAACAGCAGTTTCATCTGGAAAGACGTGAGCAGGAGCAAATGTTTATTGAAGAAGCATCATTCAATCTGGCACTCACAGTTACCGGTTGTCATAGTGTCATTGTGTGTACTTTGAGACATAATTTCACAAGGACTGCACTCCTTGTAAAATTAAGCACCAGGATCTTCCAAATCACTTTTTCCAAACTCCTCCAACAACACGAGCTCAGTATTTCCACTAACTCAGCAACAGGCAAAGGAAGTCAGAAACTCCCCACCTCAAAGTTCCCTGCCACTTTCTTCAAATAGCCCTCGTGAGTGTTCAAACAGAGAGTGGTAATACAACCTGCAAAATCCAAAAGGGCAGATCAGATGGTAAATCTTAATTTAACACTGCTTAACATCACAATTTGCTCATGACAGTCGGACTACACTTGTATTCATACAAGTATGGCACACCAGAAATGGCAAAAGTAATTCAGTCTCCATCTTCATTTCTCAGCGTTTCCATTATGTCTACACCAGCAAAGCCATAGAGCTGACATTTGCAGTCACATTAGATGCAATTTGTGGCATTACTAAAGGCTATTCCACATCTGTGGTCGTGATCTCCATTAATAAAGTCCTGCATGTTTTTCCAAGTTCTTATTAATTTGCTCTGCTACCTCAATAGTTTATGTATGTGAACTCCTAGTCTGTCTAGTGTACTCCATATAAAATTGTACCATTTAGTTTACTTTGTCACTCTTCTACTTGGCCATAGTGTACCGCTTTATTTTTCTACATGAAATTTCATCTATCAAGTGTCTTTCCATTTCCATTGTCCATCTGTATCCTTTGTTTCAATTCTCTTCCTTACTATTAACTACATCTTCAATTTGTGTTATCTACACACTTTGAAATTATACCACTTATATTCAACTTCAGATCATTAATACATATTAAAAAGAACAGAGTTCCTAATACTGACCCTTGGGGTACACCATTTTCAACTTCCCTTGACTCTGAAAAACAATAATTTAATTCTAATCGCTGCTTACTGCCTCTGGACCAATTTCAGTCCCACACAATTACTGCTCCGACAACCCCATGGGCTTCAATTCATACTTTTCTGTTTACATCTACATCTTGTTCTCATTTCTAGAATCATTTTGCCTCCGCCAATGGCCTTCTGATTTGTTTCTGAAGGTAGGTGCATTCATCCCAAAGTGTCTCTTTACCTTTGTCTCTACAGGATTTGATGAGATTTTTTTCTTCCCTCTATCAATTCATATTGTTTTGTTATTTTGATTATGATCAAGGTTATTTAGTCCATGCCTGTTTATACTAGGTATACCTCCTTAACAATATGCCTTTTAAGAAACAGTATGCTGAGACATTCTTAAACAATAGACTACAGTCAACTTCTCTTTGTATTTCTTTGATTTCCTTTGAGAAGCTGCCTGAATGACTGTGCTGAGGCAAAACTTATTTTAGAGCTGGTCAGTAATTATTTTAGAACTGAATCCTCAGGCAAAGGATGTTTTCACTAATATCAATACATATTTCTTTTCCTTTAATTTTTCCAGAATTTTTTTCAACAAGAATAATTATAATTGTGATTCCCAAAATAAACAATACACATGTGATCCATTTACATTTGACACTTCTTTCTAAACAAACACACACTTTCAATTTTTTCATATTTTTGAATTCTGTGCAACATATATATTGGTTCATTGTCTTAACCTGGAGATCATTTAATTCAAAACTTCCCAGTCTTGTTAGCAAATTATTCTTAACTAAACAAGTTGTAATATTGGATGGTGATTTTGTTAGCAGTTATATTGGTCATACTTTTAAGTATTGTTCCTTTATTAAGTGTAGCAAATATTTTAACATGTGGTGAGGTGTAAGAGTGCATTAAACAAATTTCAAGCTCAGCCTTCTTGTGGAACTTACAGGCAGAAGCTTTGTAAGTAGCTATTGTTTTAGATATGTTTCGAGGCATGAGCAAGAAGTCCCTGGTGTCAAGACGATATTGTTTGCCTCAAGATGGAACCTTTCAAAAAGATTTTAAAAAAGACAGTGAGAAAAGTAAACAAATATCTTCCTTTTTTCTGAGATAACAAGGTGTAGAGCTGGATGAACACAGCAGGCCAAGCAGCATCAGAGGAGCAGGAAAGCTGACATTTCAGATCTGGACCCTTCTTCAGAATTTTTTCTGGTCTATATAATCATAATGTGCACTAACTATTACTTTTTACACCTATACCCAGAGACATAGATGCCACTCTCAAGGGGATTGATGTGGTAGAATTCAGAGACATTGAACATTTTATTAGACATTGCGGTGGATAAGAAACTTCATGAAGAGACCACAAATTTCTGTAATCATTCCCGTTCTCACTATGCTTCCATCAGCCACAAAATGCCTTTATGTACTTTATAAATATCAAGAGGGGAGGAAGGAAGACATTTGGATGTAGTAATGTTTGCTGATCATTGTGTTGTTCAGTACATGTGCAACTCAGATACTGCAGCAGCCTGTGTTCATCCAATAAAACCTGGAAAAAACATCAGGTTTAGCCTAATAAGTGGCAAATACATTCATGCCACACAAGTGCCAGGCAATGACCATTTACAATACAAAAGAATATAACCATCTGCCCTTCACATTTTAAAGGCCGTACCGTTGCAGAATTCCGACACCCCCCAAAAAAAACTTAGTAGTTAACATTAACCAGAAACTGATCTAGAACTGATTTGGAACTCCTTACCACAGAGAGCTGTGGGGTTAGACTCCTTGTGTATATTTAAGGCTGAGATAGATAGATTCTTGATCAGAAGGGGCATCAAGGGTTATGAGGAAAGGGCAGGGAAATGGGTGTGAGGAATGTCAGATCAGCCATGATCCTATTGAGTGGTGAGCAGGCTTGAGGGGCCAAATGACGTACACCTGTTCCTATTTCTTATGGTCTTATCAGTTTCTCCACCATCAGTGCACAGTGTTAACAATGTGTAATATCTGAAAGATGCACTGCAAAAACACGTCAAGACTCCAGCTACCCAACCTTTTGACAACAGCTACCCGACCCTTGACAACGATCATTTAGAAAGACAGAGGCAAACAGGTGCATTGGAACACAATTAGCTGCAAGTTGCCCTCCAAGTTAGTCACCATCCTGGCTTGTAACTATATCACTGTTCCTTCACTGTCGCTAGATCCAAATCCTTGAGCTCATTTCCTTACAGCTCTGAGGGTGTCCACTGCCCTCCATGGACTGCAGCAGTTCAAGAATTGAACCACCAGTTTCTCAAGGGCAAGTAGGAACGAGTAACTAATACTAGCCTCACCAATGATGCGCATATCATTATAACAAAATTATAAAAGACCTTAGTTACTATTAGGAAAGTGATCAATGACACCGAACCTGTACAGAACCTTGAGTATTAAACGTGAAGTATAATAATAATGTACATATTGAAAACAATTTAGTATAACGTTAAAAATCCAATATTCAACTTGTCTTTTTATTCTGAAATTGTAAAGAATTATTTTGAGGAGCTTGTTTCTGCCACAATTCAACAACAAACAGAAATTGACACTGAACCTGGTGCCAAACCAGGAAATAATATAAAGCATCAGTGCTGCTCACTAACTTAGATTTGCAAAAATGTTTTTTGCAAAGAACATTCCAGGTTACTTTGAGCAATTGATGCCATGATAATTACCTGGCTACCTTTACTGTTTACTGCTGATTGATCAGAAGATAACTAGAGTGCCTTTCATCCACCTGCGGAGCTGGAATTATTTCAAAGGAAAGCAGTGAAGATATTGAAGTAACATCAACACCCACATAATGAATGCTCAGGAACAGAGACAGAGCCAAGTATAACAAAATGGAGTAAGCAGCAAACTTGCAGCAGACCATGCAAACAATAGAACTGCCCTGTTGTTTGATTTCACTCAATCAATCACCATAATTGCTGGTCAAATCTAACTGAATTAGTAGTGTATACAACTTAGAGATCAACTAAATTCTGGCTTTCCAATGAAAGAATCCACTTGTTACTGCACTGAAGGATTGGGTTGTGCATACATACTGACAATAGCTGACAGTATCACACTCTGTTTTTTTGTATAGGTAATTACAGTTAGATAACTAAACAAGTATATACTTACGATTAGGTTAAGACTTAATATTGAGGTCAAGATATAGATGATTGTAATATTCCTGAACAATGATTTGTGATAACCCTGAACAGATTTTTACCCAATTTGTATTTTTTCAAAAATTACCTAATTTGAAAGTTGAAGAGCTGTTGAAATAATAAAAAGGAAGATCACCACATCAATTTCTAAAATCAGAAAGCAAGCCCAGCCGTTCTGTGTGAAATGCAAGCGTCCATTATTATTCTTTACTATGTTGTAGAACCTTATTTTATAGAATCATAGAATCTTGCATTTTGGATTTCAACAATCATCTTCCTGTAAAAAATATACTTCTGATTCATTTGGCTTTTGTACTTCAACAGGGTATTTCAAGACTGTCCAACAAATCGTATACAATGTCCCAGGTATGCTGCACCTTTTAAATTATTCTACTTGTTAAAAAGTGACTAATTGCCTAAATAACTATAATGTAATAGAACTTAACTTGTTTTCTATTCTTAAACTTTGAGCAAATTAAGGTTATTTAAGGGAAATGCAAAACTATATAGTATCCAGCATGGCAGTATTTGCATATGATATTTAAACTGAGTAAAGATATTTAACACCTCCCAAACAATAAATTGTAAAGTTTGTTCTTACAAATGTTTGGGTGCAAACCAGAGTTAGAAATTTACTTACTTCAAATATAACATACATTGTGCTGCACTATTTGAAGCACCATGGGAACATGCAAGCAATGACAAACAGGAAAAGATCTTTATAATCTTTCCTATACAATTGTGATGCTTTATCTTTGCAATGCATGTAGTCTCCAGCCTATCAAGGAGCTATTCAATCTCCTGACAGAAGGAAAAATAAATCTGGTTTAAAATCAAACCCAGGGCAAGTTGGGGGCAAGGTATCTATAAAACTCCTCGCTGACTCACATGAACAATACAGAACTGGTGCAGGATGTTACTCCGGTCATAATTCCTTGTATTCCAAACATTTTATAAGAATTAATGCCTCCAATATCCAGAACAGGACCCACACTCACTTCAAGGAGTTCAATGAATTCATATGCAAGGCGTGACCAACAGCCTGATGCTGGGGTCCATTATTCTCTGAGAAAAAAACTACCCCCTGAGATATTACCTAGGTTTTGCCTCATGCATCTTACAATTACATCTCCTGCTTCTCCCTCACCTATTTCACCGGAACAAATTATGAATTGAAGCACAACACATTCCCATTATTATCCTTTTAAACCCAATCAGATTGTCCCAAGCCTATACTTCCCTGAAGTGATGTTGGACTGAACTGGGAATTGAGTCTGGTGGTTCTTCTCTGTGACCTTTACAAACCAATAATATCAGGCGCCATGTAAGGAACGCAGAACTAAAAGTAGGATTTCAATTGAGGCCTGACTAAGGTCTTGTATAAGTACAGTCAGTAGGTTTTATCTGATATTCAAAAATCCTGCAAATGCATCTCTGCTCCCTTTTCATTTTAGCTATCATTAATTGGTATTGCTCATTGTGATTTAGCGACAAGAAGGCTCAGATATTTTTTCTTTCCTCAATTTCTTTTATGCTTTTCCCTAAACAGTGTACATATTTTGATTTTAAAATCGCACTTTCCTAAAATAATCGACGTGCCAAATCTTACAAGCCCTGTGTGGCAATGTGTTAGCATGTCATAGGAGAGGCAATGGCCTAGTGGTATTATCGCTGGACTGTTAATCCAGAGATCCAGGTAATGTTCCGGGGAGATAGTAGGAACTGCAGATGCTGGAGAATCCAAGACAGCAAGGTGCAGGGCTGGATGAACACAGCAGGCCAAGCAGCATCATAGGAGCAGAAAGGCTGATGTTTCGGGCCTAGACCCTTCATCAGAAAAGGGGGAGGGGAAGGGGATTCTGAAATAAATAGGGAGAGTGTGGGAGGCGGATAGAAGATGGATAGAGGAGAGGATAGGTGGAGAGGAAACAAACAGGTCGAAGAGGCGGGGATGGAGCCAGTAAAGGTGAGTGT